TAGACATAATCACTAGTACAATATATTAATTTAACAATCTTATAGAAGTACAAAGGCCAAGAGAATGAACGAGAACATAGAAGAATGTACAGAAGAGCAGAAAGAGTTATTGAACTTGTAAAAAATATTTGAAATTTACATAAAGAACTAAAATCTAAATTTTGATACTACTGACACGGCAGAAACATAAACCTTGGAAGAAGCATGAAACAAAGACCAGGAAAATGCAGGAAACCTCGGTCATGGGCAGTGTCGGGGGGCACTGACCCCCGGAACACCCTCCTCCTCCTCCAGGTAGACACACACTGCACCTGGGTCGACCGCCTTAAGTTCCTAGTTTACATAGAAGGGCAATATACCACTAGCACAAGCATTCAGTATCCTCTGGAAGAGAGAACTTTAGTTACGTCGATGTGTCCAGTCCGTAAATCTTGAGAGATGTGGCGCTTATGTTGGAATCCGTGGTGCTGGCACCAACAGCCTGGGTGATCAGGCCATCCACCAGGAAGCATGGTCTGGGACCGGGCTCCTCGTGATCCTCTGAGTACTCTCCAGGTAGACCCCAGGTAGTCACTACTGGATTGGGTTAAGTTAAGCTGGGTTTAATTAGGTTGGGTTACCTAATGTAACGGTCAACAGGGAGTTGAGGTAAGCCAACCCAACCTAACCTAACCCAACTGAACCCAAACCAACCTAAGCTAACAAAACCTTTCCCAACTCTAACCAACCTACCCTAATCTAACTCGATATTAACCAACATAATCTATCCCTAACCATACCCTCTCCAGGTACCTAACCTAACCATACCCTCTCCAGGTACCTAACCTAACCTACCCTAACCATACTTAACCTACCCTAACCATACTTAACCTAACCTAACCATACTTAACCTACCCTAACCATACTTAACCTACCCTAACCATACTTAACCTAACCTAACTTACCCTAACCATACTTAACCTAACCTAACCATACTTAACCTAACCTAACCATACTTAACCTAACCTAACTCTACAACCTAACCATACTTAACCTAACCTAACCATTACTTACCATACCTAACCTAACTAACCTACTAACCTAACCTAACTACTACTAACCTAACTAACCCTAACCATACTTAACCTAACCTAACCATACTTAACCTAACCTAACCATACTTAACCTAACCATACTTAACCTAACCTAACCATACTTAACCTACCCTAACCATACTTAACCTAACCTAACCTACCCTAACCATACTTAACCTAACCTAACCATACTTAACCTAACCTAAACCCTAACCATACTTAACTAACCTAACCTAACCTACTTACCTAACCTAACCATACTTAACCTAAACTCCCTAACCATACTTAACCTAACCCTAACCATACTTAACCTAACCTAACCATACTTAACCTACCCTAACCATACTTAACCTAACCTAACCATACTTAACCTAACCTAACCATACTTAACCTAACCTAACCATACTTAACCTAACCTAACCATACTTAACCTAACCTACCTAACCTAACCTAACATAATCTACCCTAACATTTAAAACCAGAAATCTGTTTTGCCTAATAGGGACAAAACAAAATGATCTCTACTGCTAAAGTCACTTAACATTGTACACTTTAATCTATCAGTTACCATGGAAGCCCAGTGAGCAGCTCAGCTCAACACTGGTCAAGAATCCTTCAGTACATTATATACGACATATGTTAGGCCAAGCTTTGAGTCCGCTGCCCCAGCACAGAGCCCGCACCTGGTCATGCAGTCAGAAACTCGAGAAGATCCAAAGGTTTGTAACCAGACTAGTGCCAGAACTGAGGGAAATGCACTATTAGGAATGGTTGAAGGAACTGAGCCTGACCATCTTTGAGGACAGGAGGACAAGGGGAGGAGGGGACTTGATTACTACATACAAAATCGTAAAAGGAATTGAGAGGGCTGATGGGGACAGATTGTTTGAATTAAGAGGACCAAGATCAAGGGAACACAGGTGGAAGTTGAAGACAGAGACGAGCCATATGTATGTCAGGAAGAATTTCTTTAGTCTCAGGGTGGTTGAAAAGTGGAATGGCTTGGATGAGGCACTGGTGGAGGCAAACATAATACACAGCTGCAAGAGTAGATATGATAATACCCAAGAGGACAGAAGTCAGCGATACTCATCAAGGCGGTCTGAGAGACGGGGCCTCCAGCTAAGTATCGACCCTGCCAAAGACAGATCGGTGAGTACACACACACACACACAACACACACACAAACACACACACACACACACACAACACATACACACAACACACAACACACACACAACACACACAAACACCACACACAAACACACACAAACAACAAAATAACACACAAAACAAGCCAAGTGTCTATCGACAAGTGCTTTTGCCAGTTTGTACCTACTACCACTATTACTACTATTACTACTAGTACACAGGCACACACAACTTGTGTAAGAGAATGTAATTTTGGTGTTGAGTACATGGTTGAGGGTGAGCACTCACACTTGAAGCAGCACCTTCCCCTCGCTCAAGTGGCACTCTACACCCTCCTCAGGCTGCGATGGTGGTGGTGTTGTTGTGGTGGTGGTAGTGGTAGGTGATGGTAGTGGAGGTGTTGATGTTGTTGTAGTTGTTTTGTGGTGGTGGTAGGTAATGGTGGTGGTGTGGTGGCTGTGGTGGTGTCGGTGGTGGTGGTTATAGTGGTGGTGCTGTATGGTGACAAGCACTAATCTAAGAGTGCAGCATCTCTTCGACTTCGTCCTCTCCTCTCCTCTTCTCCCGTCTTCTTCTCCCTCTTACCCCAGCTCCACCTCCTCCACTCACCCCAGCTCCACCTCCTCCACTCACCCCAGCTCCACCTCCTCCACTCACCCCAGCTCCATCTCCTCCACTCACCCCAGCTCCACCTCCTCCACTCACCCCAACTCCACCTCCTCCACTCACCACACCACCACACACACTCACGACTCACAAACATCCTCACTTGAACAAACCAAGAGCACGGCACAACAACTTCCTCGGATCTCATCTTTACACGCCGTATGACGTCTTCGATCCTCTCATGTTGGGGCCCCGGAAGGGGCTCTTTTGCCAGGTTAAGGGCCAAGATGACACTGAGGTTAAAGGCCAGTACAAATGAGGAGTACATAACCACGGCCAGTGTCTTCTCTTCATAGTCACCTCCATGCACGACTACCACAACCTGAGTGCCAGCTTCAACCAGAGGAGTAAAACCACTTGTCACTTAGTGAATCCTTTGTGCGAACGTTTCGGTCCATCAATGCTGCCTTACAAGTGAGACAGCACACGTTGCCACTAAGTCACATAGTTGCATCCTCTCCTCACCAATACTTACCAAACCAACCAGCTGAACTCCGTCACTGCTACCAACCTGATGGCACCTGGACCTTCTCGTAACTCACATCTTTCGCATTTCACCCATTCACCCCATCATCAGACCACCTCAACCTGAAACCACCATTCCCTGGAACCCACTTCCAGTGTAGACCACCAACCAACATGGTGTTCAGCACCCAGTACACTCACAACAGCAGCACTCCACACCACTCAACTCCCCTACAATATTGCTGGTTGTGACAGAACAGTAGACTAAGGGGTAATTGCTACTTCATTACGACACAGTGGCAATTATACTGAAATGAGCCTCGGGTCCCCCATGGCTTTAGACTTAGGTAAAGGGGCACAAGAGAGGTTTATAAGCCGATACATTCAGGGGATGACATAACTGGAGAGGAGTGGAGGAGCGTACCTCAGATGTATGTGTTGTGATGGGAACAGCAGTGAATGTTCACTAGACTGCGTAATTAGTCATAATAAGCGCAACATAGAAAGGAAACGTTCACAATGCAATTATTTGCATCTGTCTCCAAATAATTTACCAAACCAACAAGCTGAAGACTCAGTCACTTGTACAACACTGATGGACTGGAACGTTTTCGTAATAACATCTTGTCGGCATTTCTACCATTAACCATCAGCAAGAAACCTAACCTGAAACCACATTCCCTGGAAACATTCAGTGGTAGACAACAACAACATGGTGTTCAGCACCAGGTACACACAAATAGCAGCACTCACACCACTCAACTCCCTTCATATTGCTGGTTGTGCTCGACGTAGATCATGGTAATGTGTACTTAACACACAAGTGGGCAATTAGTACTGGAAATGAGACCTCGGTCTCATGCTTAAACTTAATAAAGGCGCAACTAAGAGAGGTCTTATAAGCGCATTACTTCAGGCCAGACATAACTAGGAGAGGAGGAGGAGCGTCCCTTAGATGTCTGTGTTTGTGATGGGAGACAGCCAGTGGAAGTTCACAGCACTGCAGTAATATAGTCATAAATAAGCGCAACATAACCATATGTAATCACACAAACCTCGGCATTACACTGAGCTCGGCTGATACTACGTAATCACACAAACCCTCTCATTACATTGTGTTTAGCTAATATTGAAAAAGAAACTTTATGACAACGCAGTATTAAGAGTGAAGTAACTCGTGGAACTGAAAGTGGAAGAGAAAAATGGGGAACAAGAACCAAGGAATTACCGGAAGAAAGTAAAGAGGGAGAGGGGAAATAATCGATAAAACAATACAAGAGATGCTGGACGTGACAGATGCAAAATGCAAAACCATACCAAAAAAAAAAAAGAGTCAGACAGAGAAGTTAATATCAATAAAGTAAATCTCGCGGGCGCTCGACATTAGAGGCTGAGACTCACTATGAGGCACAAGTGTGCTCTCACCTTGAAGATAAACCACTTTCTTGCATTGTCTGCCCCTTGTTTCACCTACGACTTTTAAAAGGAGCAGAGAACCTTGCAAGATGACTTACCTCTCGCCTGGACCCGACCCGGATGGATCTATCATTTCAGCAGAGCGCTAAACACCAGTGAGCAATGGGTAGCCTTACTACTACATTCTAAGCCAATGATATAAAGATTCCACTTTTGGTTCCACCTCACCGACAGCGAAAACACAGCTACTGTACCAGAAGACGGTCAGGGAACAGCAACAAATACACTCTAGCTGCACCCTTCTCAAGAACATCACGTTATCTGAGATCATTCATTCCTAGACTGACTCGATCATTCATACCCAGACTGACTCGAGTCTGGAGCGTGATCACACAACACACAAACCATAATGAAACGCAGTTAATTAACCAAATGAAATCTCTAACCCATAGCTAGCTCCAACTTCATCCTGTTCACCATTTGTATAAGTCATACCAATGAAGATTTAATAAAGATAATGCTAGGGAAGACATGTAAATGAGGAGAGGTAGGTACGACTCTCACCTCGTAAACAAATGTTGGAACTTTAACCTAACCATGTAACGACCCTTGAGAGGAAATATTAAAAAAAAAAGAAGGCCCTTGGCTTAACCAGTAATACTAGCAAGCACACGAAGCAAGAATTAAAAGGACAGCGAGAAAACACGAAATTGAAAAAAAAAATAAGTCAGAAAGCCAGAAACAAATACGTCATAAATAAAAGAAAATAAGAGAGGCAGCATGAAAGCGATACTACACTGGAGACCAAAACAAAATGGTAATTCCTCTTCAGTAAAATGTAGAGACACAACTGTCAGGGACCAGGAGATGAGACTTACACACCAGTGGGAAGTTATATGGAAAATATTAACGATTATATTTTATATTCTTGCCGCTGAAGTGGCTAGTTTATTGTGCGCCCCAGATCCATCTTGTGGAGGGAAGCGCAAGAGTATATGGATAAACAAAAGGTCTAGGAACTAGGCTCCAAAATGGTTTACAGGAGAACATATGGATTTATATCTACAGTTCACTTATTTGGTATCTTATTTTCATTAGTAAGATATAGTGGCAAATAACATAGGTTATTATACTGTCTCTATCAATGAAATGTGAAGAAATAACATGAAACTGAATGAGGTAATCAGAGAACAAGGGAGATACAAAGGTCTAGGGAGGAGACGCGGGGAAATTCCTACGTTATACCTACTGCTTATTTCGAGAGTTATTTTAACTTTGCAGTCCGGCTTGGGGTCCAGGCTTTTATTCTGACTGCCTATTCAACCAGATTGTTACTGTTGCCAGCCCACTGTCCCACACAGTCATTACAGCCTGGTTGATCTGGTTCTTGGCGGAGGCAGTGATCCAATTTCCGGTTGTAAACGTCTACACTTGTTCTGGCAATATTTCTGATATTTACCGAGAGAAGGTTAAATGCCGATACAGTTCTCTCTTATTTTGCCTTAGGCGCCACCTGCTTTTCACTAGGCCTATTTTACACTTCCTTGAATACGTTATGGTAACTTATAGCTCTACAACGAGGCTCTGTATACCTGGAAGACAGTCGCTCTTCTTCGTTACAGAGAATACATTCTGAACACCTTGAAAAATTTCCAGTAGTTTGAATGGCTTGTTGGGTTAATGCAAGCATTAAATTATCTTCGTACCTTTTCCAGCTCTGATATTTCTCCTGCCTTGAAGGGAGACGTCAACACCAAGCAATATTCTAAGCGGGAGAGCACATGTACATACGAGTACATACGAACACTGAAATGTCTACGTTTTCCAGCTCAAAACTCTCGGGGGCCGTTGTTATACAGCAATATTCTACCCTGGAGAGAACAACTGACTTGATGAGTATCATTATTGGCTCAGCATCTTTTGTCTTACAGTTCTAGTTATTCAGTCTATTATTTTTCTTGCGACAGCAATAGCAACATTGTTGAGATCTTCTGACATAACTTTTTCGCTCCACCAAGGGTCTCGAGTTTGTCCTGTACTCAGTCACAGTCTTTATTTCCTCTATTCTTCCTCGTTAAACATCATATCACTGTCTGAGGCTCACTGGAAGACTTGATTTACATCCGCCTGAAGATTTGCTGCATGTTCGATGGACGCCTCTCAGACAGCTCTGCCATCAGCAAAGGATATTATGGTGCTATGATTTATGTCCTTGTCAGAACTGGAGCGAGGTACTGTGCCTTGCCTCCGACTGTGAAAACCTCCGACTGTGACAGCCTCCGACTGTGACAGCCTCCGACTGTGACAACCTCCGACTGTGACAACCTCCGACTGTGAAACGAAACCTCCGACTGTGACAGCCTCCGACTGTGACAGCCTCCGACTGTGACAACCTCCGACTGTGACAGCCTCCGACTGTGACAACCTCCGACTGTGACAGCCTCCGACTGTGACAGCCTCCGACTGTGACAACCTCCGACTGTGACAACCTCCGACTGTGACAGCCTCCGACTGTGACAGCCTCCGACTGTGACAGCCTCCGACTTCACTCTGTTTACTATTACTCTCGGGGTTTTATTTCTTAAAATGTTAAATATCCAACTGCCCACTTTCCTAGTCAATTACATTTGATATACCTTTGAAGAGTTTCGAGAGTTTCTCTACTCTCTAAGCCCGGCCATGGGCCAGGCTCGTCTGGAGCTTGCCTGGTCAACCAGGCTGTTGCTGCTGGAGGCCCGCTGCCCCACATATCCATCTTGAAGGCTTCTACACTTGTTCCAGCAGTGTTTCTGATATCTTCTTGTAAGATGTTGAATAGTGTGGGACCCCGGATGTTGATACAGTGTTCCCTTACTGTCCCCACCGCACCCCTGCTCCTCACTGGGTTTATTTTACATTCATTTTATGTGAAATCACACTATGGTCACATTTGTCACACCATGGTCACACTTGTCACACCATGGTCACACCTGTAACACCATGGCCACACTTGTCACACCATGCCCGCACTTGTCACACCATGGTCACACCATGCCCGCACTTGACACACCATGGTCGCACTTGTCACACCATGGTCGCACTTGTCACACAATGGTCACATTTGTCACATCATGGTCGCACTTGTCACAAGATGGTCACACTTGTCACACCATGGTCGCATTTTGTCACACCATACCTGGAGGTTACCTGGAGGTTATTCGGGGGATCAACGCCCCCGCGGCCCGGTCCACGACCAGGCCTCACTTGTCACATCATGGTCGCACTTGTCACACCATGGTCGCACTTGTCACACCATGCCCGCACGTGTCACACCATGGTCACACTTGTCACACCATAGTCACACTTGTCACACCATGCGCGCACCTGTCACACCATGGTCACACTTGTCACATCATGGTCGCACTTGTCACACCATGGTCGCACTTGTCACATCATGGTCACACTTGTCACACCATGGTTACACTTGTCACACCATGGCCACACTTGTCACACCATGGTCACACTTGTCATACCATGGTCGCACTTGTCACACCATGGTCACACTTGTCACACCATGGTCACACTTGTCACACCACGGTCACACTTGTCACACCATGGTTACACTTTTCACACCATGGTCACATTTGTCACACCATGGTCACACTTGTCACACCATGGTCACATTTGTCACACCATGGTCGCACTTGTCACACCCTGGCCACACTTGTTACACTATGACCACACTTGTCACACCATGGTCACACTTGTCACACCATGGTCACACTTGTCACACCGTGGTCACACTTGTCACACCATGGCCACACTTGTCACACCATGGTCACACTTGTCACACCATGGTCACACTTGTCATACCATGGTCGCACTTGTCACACCATGGTCACACTTGTCACACCATGGTCACACTTGTCACACCATGGTCACACTTGTCACACCATGGTCACACTTGTCACACCATGGTCACACTTGTCACACCATGGTCACACTTGTCACACCATGGTCGCACTTGTCACACCATGGTCACACTTGTCACACCATGGTCACACTTGTCACACCATGGTCACACTTGTCACACCATGGTCACACTTGTCACACCATCTGGAGAGTTTATCTGGAGAGAGTTCCGGGGGTCAACGCCCCCGCGGCCCGGTCTGTGACCAGGCCTCCTTAGGTCAGTGTCCCAGGATGCGACCCACACCAGTCGACTAACACCCAGGTACCCATTTTACTGATGGGGAACATAGACAACAGGTGGAAAGAAACACGTCCAATGTTTCTACTCTGGCTGGGAATCGAACCCAGGCCCTCACCGTGTGAAGCGAGAGCGTTAACCACCAGGCCACCAGAGCCTTGTCACACCATGGTCACACTTGTCACACCGTGGTCACACTTGTCACACCTTATTTCAGATTCAGTAAACACAACATCAACATTAAGCGGTCGATAAAGATTATGAAGCGGGACCAAGAGTCCGGACTAGACTCCTGTAAATATATATCACCGTGTACCAGTGAGTAAATATTCACTCTTATTCACATTCTCTCTCTCTCTCTCTCTCTCTCTCTCTCTCTCTCTCTCTCTCTCTCTCTCTCTCTCTCTCTGCTACAATGGTAGTAATAACTTTAGCAGTAGTGTCGCAGTGCCACCAGACGGGCGGCGCCGGCGACGTAGTTCCGATGCCAGCACAGGACGCTGGCGACTCTAAATTACCATATTTGCCTCCGAGGCGTCCGTCAGCGCCCCTTCGTCGCCTTATCATCAAATATTCATCACAACCCAGTCATCACCACCCAGTCATCACCACCCAGTCATCACCACCCAGTCATCACAACCCAGTCATCACCACCCAGTCATCACAACCCAGTCATCACCACCCAGTCATCACCACCCAGTCATCACCACCCAGTCATCACCACCCAGTCATCACCACCCAGTTTATCAAGCAGGATGTTCATGTGAACAATTATTAACATACTGTACATATCATATATTTAACATAATCAGACAGTTTATAATCTATATCTCATACTCTGATCAATGACCAAAAACTATCTGGACTTACGTAGGTCTACATTCATCCACTTGAGGCTGATCAACGTTAACCATCTTAGGGATTAATCTGTATTATCTGTATTACGTTACCTTGTACTTTGTCAGTGTTAGGGACATATGTCAGGGTGTTTGTTCATGACTGCCAGTCATGAACAAACACCCACAAACACCCACAAACACCCACGAGACTTCAAAAAAAAAAAAAAACAGTGTAAATGCAAAGGTTTAATAATTATACAATGATAAAAAACTCGATAAGTGAATTACAGAAAGATTACTGTCTTCCAGTTGTGAGCACAGGTACCCTAAGCAAGGTGCCAGTGATCAACCGGGTTGTGGTGTCTGCACTGCGTCCCAGGGATCAGCTGGGACTCCCGGAAAACATAACCTGGTAACACACTTCTTCC